TTATACCGAAAAGTGATATAAAAAGGTAGTTCTGAAATCAATTTCCTTTTTTTTTTTTTAAGAAAAGATTATTTGATGAATTGGAAGGTAATCTCTCCTTTAATGAAAGTGAATCTCTAATTAAACAAGACATTCTCAATATCTTGAATTTGGGACTTACTATGTTATAGAATTAATCTATTTATTTTGTAATAGTATCTAATTAAATTTAGGTGTGTAAAGAATGATTGAGATTTATTTTGTTTTTATTATAAGTGATTAAAATTTACCATGGTTTTTTATATTTATTTTTAAATTTTAAAATAAAAATTAAATAAATATCAATCATTTAAAATAAACAATATTTGTCAAGATTGCAAATGAAAAAGTCAGGATTATTCCAGTTAAGTATCGCCCTGTCTTGTGCTAGAAGCAAGGAGGGGCGAAGTTGGAGTTGAATGGAAGCCCAAACTTCTTGCTCGTGCTGTTGCACAGCGTTGGATGAGCTGGTGACATCATTGATTTGAAGATTAAGGGGTCTAACACCGGGTGGCTCCCAACGAGCCAAAATTGGGGAGTCAGCTGGTGTGTTGTTACGGTGTTGACAGAGCAAAACTTGTTATTCCAGTTGACAACCAGTGACCATGAGACACCGTTGTTTAATAATGTGGTGCTTTCAAACTGGCAGTTTGGTCAAACCTAAGATGGGGGAAGATACTTTTAGAGAAATTTTGAATTTTACAAATTTGTATGAAGCTTAGATGCAAAATGGCTGCATGTATCCGCTCAACTCTGTGCAGAGGCTTTCTCGCTAAAAAGCTTTCATTGATTCTGTTTCTTTTCATGATGGGATCTCATGAAGAGGATAAGCATGGGAACGGATACTCTAAAAGCCAAAATCATGTAAGAAACGGGTGAAGGAACAAAGGGAAGAAATTAAGCACAAAAAACATACAATGCCTGCCGCACATTTGATCACAAACCCTTCACAGAACAAACTAAAGTACAATCAAACTTCTGATGGAAAAGGAGAAAAGAGTCATGTGCATACGCAAAATACAACAACAATTTATATTTAATGGCGATAATTAACAGAAAAGATATGTACAAACTTCTTCAAAATGCTGGAAAACAATGTTACTTGGGACAGGGCAGGGGAATTTGAATTATGCTCAGTAGATAGCATCCCCAAGGAAAAGAACAGTTCATACAAGACGTTATTACATTAAGTGTCTGGGGCTTCTTCTCCCCATGAGGCAAGAAACATCTATCTTCACTTCCAATCAAGCATGTCTAATAGCCATAAAACCGCATCTTTAGAATCGGCAACATCACAGAAATCCATTTCAATCCCAAAAACATCAATGAGACCATCATTGCCATTGTCCATGAAAAGCAAAGAGATCCATGCCCGAACTCCTGAAACGAATGGGTAGTCTGGGGAGAAGTCTAGGTAATCAAATGCTAAGGCCCTATATGCTGTTCGATCTATGTAATCAAACACAGATTTGTTAATTATGCAAGCAACTTTATTGAAATCCTTCCGCCCCACAAGCACTGAAACACTAACAGTCTGGCTCAAAGGGACAGTGAACCTTGGCTCAACAGGTAAGGTCATCTTATACTCAGGACCCTCAAGATGAAACCTAAGCAAATCGCATATTCCAGTGGGTGGGCTCTTGATTCCAGCCTGGAGGATAGGGCCAGGAACCACTTCAGAGAAAATTAATTTATCTTCAGCCCAAATGTCAATGTAGAATTCCAGAACATCAAAGGAAAGTCTAGGAGGGAGAAGAGTTCGGCAATCCTGCCTCCTATAAAAGGTCTGGTATAGCTTGTAATAGGTTGTGGTGGGAGGGTTGGGCTGCTTACAAACAGAAGGCCATCTCTTGGCACAGGCACATTTCCAAAAGTAATCATCTCCAGCTATGTCTCTCCATTGCTTACAGACCACCATACAAGAGGCAAGGTCTCTTCCATCAAGTAAAGGAAGAACAGCCTTCAAAACTTCTTCATAAGACATTCTCGAATCACACACAAATAGTACTTGAAAGAGATTCTAGTGTGCTCCTACAATCATTTACAATTTTTTTTTTGCTGATGAATTCAGAATTCCCTGAGAAATAAACAAGATAAACTTTCAAACTGAAGTGAAATCTATATGTCTGTGTCTCATGTAAAAACTAGCACGGCAACAACAAAAATCTACACATTATTACAGCATGTTGTTGACACGATCAAGAAACAAAACAACAACAAAAAAACTACACATTTCACAAATATATACAAGCTAAGGGGCAGTATAAACCCCCTTAAAACTAGAATATATTGTCAATAGACAGTGATTGATTGCGTTGTCAGTCAAGTCCTTGGTAATTTTACCCAAATCAGAAAAGAGGGGAAAAAATAGTAATCTAATAGTGTATTCCTACCAACAAATCCAGAAGCAACTAAAATCAACCAATTGTAAGACAATAACACAAATATCGATTGCAATATCAGGATACCGATGATTTTGCCCAAACAATACAAGACCCAAAATAAAAAACTTAGTCAAATGAACAAAAATGAAACCCTAAACGATCAAATGATATACACAACTCCATAGACAAAACAAGAACTTTTAATCTACCGGAAAACCCCATTTCTCTCCCAATTAAAAGAAGAAAAATTTCTCCATGTATATGCAAATCAATGTAAAAAGGAAAGAGAAGACAAACCCTAGATTGAGGTGATGGAGAAAGAGACGAAAGGAACCAAATTGAAGCGATCGAAAGGAGAATGAAGGTGATGGAGATCCCCCACAGTAATACTTATAATTGCGACCCTAATTTATCGGTAAAACCGTCAATTTTCATCGAAAAACGGGATGAGAATTTTCCCTTTGCCTTCAAGGGAAAGAAAAAAAGGGGGAAGTGGAGAATCTTAAGAGAAA